TTAGGGGACCACTGGATAGATAATTAATATAGCTAGTAGCCATCTGTTGTTGTGATAAAATAACCTTCATGAAATCTAGCAGGCAACATGGTCCAGGCTCTTGCCATTCCTCTTGGTTACTTCACAGAGCTAGAAGATAAGACTCTGCGGTTGAAGACGCTATACACCCTGGTTGCAAGATGTGGAGAAATCTAACTGGAGGCCGCTTGGAAACACCCTCACTGCTGGTTAGCTTTTGTAATACTAGGACATCATATCTCTTGATTCCATGCCCATATACTGTAGTATGATGTGGCCCAGGCAGCTGTTCCCCTACAAGCTTGCTGACTGTAACCTAACCCACTCTCTGAGGCTGGCTCTGCTTGCTGTCTGTATCCTTCTCTGACAAGCATAGTGCATTTGCTCTTTCTAAGGCCCCTGTTTCACTTCCAGCTTTATTGTCATAACTCCATACAGTGTCCCTGTCATGGCCTGCTTGCAAGAACTAGTAACTATCACACATAATCAGGATTCCCCAGCCTTCCTTTGAAATCTAGGTGGAGGTCTTTATGATATTATAACTCCACTGTGCATGTCTGCAAAACTAGTCATGTAGATAATGCCAAAGATTGCCACCAGTACAAACTGTACATGGGCCAACATGAACCATGGTTTTAGTGCTAGCTAAAATCAGGAAACAAATCCCTGGGTATTTGGCACTATGCAGGACCACCTCTGTATGTAGGGTCTCTGCAAATACCAGAGTAACAATCCACATGAGGCAAGTAGGAATTCCAGGTCAACACAACTTAGCAGTGTTTGTTCAAACTTCTAGAATCTAACCCCAGGTAGTTTATTTTAGCTATATTTAAGCATAAAATAATTTTGGAAAGAAGTTTCATGATGATAGAAACTCAATCCTGTGTGTACAACAAATTTTAAGACTTGTTTACATTGAAACTCTTTAACAAAGTATGTCTGTCCTCTTCCATAAAGATGGGTTCTGTTGACTCAATGTTCAAGATAAGGGTCTAGGGAGAATGACTGAGACAAACAACAGTCGTCTGTGGGAGTCAGGAGTGGCCTGGCCCTACAGATAACACAGAAATTACGTAGGCCTTTGTAAAGTACATGTGACATCTCTCATAAGGATGGGTTTTGTTGACTGAGAAGGCATGCTCAAGATAAAGGTACAGGGCAGAGAAGAGTCTAGGATAAACAAACGTAATAGTCTGGGGGATTCAGGTGTGGCCTGACTCTGTTATATCTGTAGATAACACAGATCACCAGGCTGTTAACAACATCCATTCCCAGCTATCCAGGCAGAAACCAGGTACACATCTCCTTCCTTTGAAGAGAAACCCTGTGTGCTTAACATTACTGGATTCCCTAGAGCTTATCTGTGAGCACCAGGACTTTGTGCTCTCTATACCTCCAGGTTCTCTTCTCAAATGGAGGTCTTTGAAACAATTTTTCATTTTGATACCCTGGAGCCTGTAATAGCTCCCCCCTGATTTCTGAGACCCACTCATCTGTTGTGTTTTTATACTGCACCAATGCAAAACATGTGGTTTCTTTTCAATGGTTCACACTTCTTCAGTATCCATAGTGTTCTGGATGCACCTCTATATACCTTGCTTTTCTGACCATGTGAATTAATTTAAAAAAATTCTTTGACAGTTTCATACATGCATATAATGAATTTTAGTGGTCTTCACCCCATTCCTCTCTCTCCTTGTCCTGCAAACCTTCTACTTCCCAATACACTTCCATGTCTTCTCTTTATATGTGACCCGGTGAATTTAAAGCTATTTGTGTAATCATGGATGAGACATTATTTACCAGTCATGGACAGCCTAGCAGTGGCTACTTTGACGAAGAAAATGACACTCCTAACCTTACAACCATTGACTACCAATAATCAATCCCTCAGGGTAGGGGAGGGCTTCATGGACCCTCTACCACCCACAGCAAAATGTTGATAGGCCCCAATGTTCTGAAATTCTTATATAAAGACTTGAGGTGAGTTCCCGAATGCAATAGCCGTGATATATCTGGAAGACATTTTTGCTGCACATTTTCTTATCCTTTGGCTCTTGGGTTTCTTTTGCCCTCCCTTTCAGGATGTTTCCTTAGCTCAAGCTGTGCATTTTTCAATGCTTTGTTCTCTGTTCATCTTTGCTCCAAATTCTTTTTGCAAATGAGGCTGAAAGCATCTAGTGAGGGAGGAATGGTAAGTGGGAAATGGTACGATTCCACTATAATATCAAAAATGAAAGAAGGAAAGCATCTAGTATTATCTGTGCCTCTTGTGATATCAGTCTGATTACCTGTAAGCATCATTTCCCAGAAGACTCAGAAAAAGGCCATGTACTTCTATAGACCTGCCATAATGAGAGTCTTGTCTTTTCATTGTTGCTATCACCTCATGTTTAGTTACACCAGCAGGCAGGTAGCAGTGTTTGATTAGTGTTTATTTCATGTGATTTGAATTTATCCTGGGGTGAGGACTATGGCTTCCTTGAGCATCTGTGCTTCAACAGAATCTCATGATGTTTCAAAATGGTTCCTTCATCTCCTTGCATCTCCATCACTCATGTGGACTGAAGGATATCATTTCTCGATTGTTTTCAGGAATTCTGTCTTTTCCTTGATGCCTTGTTCTACTTTTTCTCCACTCTCAACACAAGTGAATGTCCAGCTTTGAAGCAGCTGTCATGATGGGCAAGGGCAGTTCTGACTGCAGGCTCGCTTGGAGTCAGCCCTCTAGTGTTAGAGCACCCTCAGCAGCTCACAGCCTGAGAGCCACTGCCCACCAGTGAATGAATGTTACTGTAAGGGTGGGGGGAGGTGCTAATTTTCAGAAGCAGCACTGAACTGTGGGAGGTTCTAAAACTATTCATGAAAATGTGTATGTCTGCCCTTTTCATAAATCCATCGTGAGTCCGTCTCATTCAGCAGAAGGCGAATTCATGATCTTATAAGAAGAATGAGTGATGCTAATGGAGTCTCTGGTATTTTATCTGTTAGCCATAAAACACATCAGGGGTAGGACTCGCCTTATCATTGATGCGATCCATTCATTTCTTGGGAAAATGAATATTGGTCTAGAGAATGCTTCAAAATGGAGTTTTTGTTGCAAAGGGTCTTATAAATGGGCTGTTGACACAGAATGAGTCATACTGTATAGCTTTTTCTTTTATCCCTTTTGGCGTGGTAAGGAGGTGATATGGAGGCCAGGGTCTTACTAAGTAGCCCAGGATGGCCTTACATTTCCAACTCTCCTATGATAGCCTCCTGAATACCCGGATCACAGGACTGTGCCACAAAAGCACGTTTATGAAGTCTCTCTCTATTTGAACTCTTAAATGCATTGACAGAAAATGTGAAAAGTGCATTCTTTTCTATACCTTACTCTTAAAAACTAAGAATTCAAAGTACTTGTGTTTACAGGCTCACTAGTGTGGCCCTTTAGCTTTGTTTGCTCCAAAAGTGAGGGAGTTATATAGATGGCTCAACAGTTAAGAGCACTTACCGTACTTGTTGAGGACCCAAGTTCAATTCCCAACACCCACATGGTGGCTCACAGCCATCCCTAACTCTAGTTCCAGGGGATCTGTTGCCCTCTTCTGACCTTCATAGACATGCATGTGGTACACAGACATACACTCATACACATAAAATTTTATTTAAATCTTTTTTAAAAAAGAACTTCTCAAAGATACTTTGAACTTGAAGTCATATCCATGATGACACCAAGTAAATAAAGGGTTATATGCTTGCTCTTGATATCCATTGAGGGACTGGTTCCTAGATCCCTCTAGGTTATCAAAAGGCACTGTACTTCTCTCCTGCAGTTAAATGGTGCTGTGTTTGTGTAAACCTGTTTGCATGCTCTCATGGGCCTTAGCTCATCTCTGTATTACCAATGATCGCTAGTCATTCATGGCAGTGTTTGGGAACTGATGATAGGAAATGAGTCTACATATCAGTATGGTTGGGGGGTCTTTTAGATTTTCATTGCATATTTGTTTATTTTGTGGAGCTGTGCATGTGGCACTGGGCAGACTGGGGATCAGATGAGAACTTGAAAGAGTCAGTTCTCTCCCTCTGCTGTGTGGATCCTAGAGAATGAACTAAAGTCATCAAGCTTTTTGTCAGGTACTTTTTTACTTTTGGGCGGGTATCTTGTTGGTCCTAAAAGAAGTTTTTAAAAATATCTCTCCTCCGTAGTTGATTGAGTCCACGGATATGACATCTGTCTCTGGAGGGGCCATATTTGTTTATTTTGTGGAGCTGTGCATGTGGCACTGGGCAGACTGGGGAATCAGATGAGAACTTGAAGGAGTCAGTTCTCTCCTTCTGCTGTGTGGATCCTAGAGAATGAACTAAAGTCATCAAGCTTTTTGTCAGGTACTTTTTTACTTTTGGGCAGGTATCTTGTTGGTCCTAAAAGAAGTTTTTAAAAATACCTCTCCTCCATAGTTGATTGAGTCCACGGATATGACATCTGTCTCTGGAAGGGTTGCTGAGCTTAGAATGATGGCTTTTCTTGTCTAGTCCATAAAGATAATGGGGCATTTGAATAAATCCAAAAGATCATCAAGTATGATGATGCAGTATATTCTGAATTCTCCATTTAAAAACAGCAAAAACAAACAAACAAAAAAACATCTTTTAGATTTCATCACTTGATTTCTTTCAACTTCCCCTTTTTTGTTTTAAAAGCCTCGTGTTAACTTCTTTTGCTCAAAGAGTGGCCATGAATCTGTCTCCAGTTGCTTCCAGTTCAGTTGTTGTAACCTCCTTTTACAGTTAAAAGCAGAGAGTCCTCTAAGTGTAGGATCAGAAGCTAGGGAAGGTGTCAGGTTTTTATGATGACACGAGGCTTGGGCAGAATTGAGTATGTGAATCTTATTGATTCTTTAAAAACATGTTCTCCCTGGAAATGGACGAGTAGAGCTTGGGACCCAGGATATTTCTTTATGAAGTAATGAATTTGGAACTTCATAGAAAAATCCATGAACGCAACTGAACACGATGTAGCAGCAGATGGAGCGTTTCTATCCCAGGTGGATCCTATCAGGAATCCCTTCCGAAGGGCCCTGGAGCAGTCTGTCCAGCCCACAGAAACCTCTAAAACACTACTGGCCGCAAATGCATATTCCCAGGCTGTTACTGAGACCAGTGAAACTCAGCTGAGGAGAGGCAAAGAATCTACATTTTGACTGAGTCCTCCGCCAGTGCCAGTGCATCTGCTTTGCACTTGGGGAGTTCTTTAGCTCTCCCCAGGATTTGCCAGCCTTTGTCATAAACCCCCATGTGCTGAATGACAAACTTCAGCACAGCAGCCCATTCAGCTGCAGAAACTTCCACCGCCTGAGGTCAGCCCAAGCTGGAGAGGAGCAAACAAAGTTACAACACTGTCCTCTGGGCAGGTCTCTGCAGGTGAGAACACTGTGGCTTAAAGAGGACAAAAGGTCTTTCCTGAGTGGATTTATCTGGACTCCACAAAAGACTTGACACAGACCTCCACAGTGTGCTTGGCACCAAGTCTTCATCAGAAAGCCATAACGCAGGCACCTGGCTTAGGAGAGCTGCTTGTGTCTCTCCAACAGGTCCTCCCACTCTAGGTGACCCCCACCTTACTGCTTTCCAAAAGGGAATCAACACGGAGGTCTAGGATCCACAAATATCCATTCAAGCATAGATTTTAGGTTACTAGTGTACCCTCTGTCAAGAAAAATAAGGTCCTGTCCTTAGAGATCCCACATGGTGTGTCTGGGCCAGCTGACCTGTTGAAATGTACCTGAAAAGGGGAGTGAGGATTGAGAAGGAAACAACCAACCAACCAAACAAACAAACATAAGATAGAGGCCTCTCAGCCTGGAGAGATAGTTAAGATCACTGGCTGCTCTTTCAGAGGTCCTGAGTTCAATTCTCAGCAACCACATGGTGGCTCATAACCATCTGTA